TACTTTAGTGGGATTGTGTGGGTTGATGTGTGTGTTAGAGAGCAATGTACCAGATGTTATTTTGCAGGAGAGAGGAGACCAGCCTCTCATGGCTAGTAATAAAAAAGAGAATTGTTACAACATTATTGTGGTAACATATAAGCATCTCTGAGAATACAGCAGTCGAGGTTAGTCTAATTTAAAAACTGGTACCACAATCTAATCAGGCACTTTTAACTAATGCCTGATTGATGGTTAATAAACCATTTACTAATGTTTTAGTTTAGAAAGAAGGTAAAGAACTTTGTAGCTGACATCTCAATCACGACAACTGCTTTGTCTTTTTAGCTAGCTCTTTTCAACTGCAGACTTGTCGAATGATTGTAAGAACCATTTATTATTAACTAGATTGGCATAAAATGTGGTACAGACATTAATGGTTCCTAGATGATGAACCCTACTGACTGTTGTGATCCCCTGATTACTCTAAACTACTGAATGGATTGTCAGGAAACAGCCATTCATGTCTCCCTCAGGATTAAATGTAATATATTACTCCTTAACTTTTCATCCAGCTATCATCAGGTCAATTATAATTCATCCTAAATTCTGATTTATAACCAAAGACCTGCAAAACTAATGATAGGCCCATCTTTGTCCGCTGTACTGTGAGTTTATTGCAGATTAACAAATGTTAGCATGCCAACACTTTCAACTTCTATATAAACATTATCGCTGCTTATCATTAGCATGTCAGCATTGTCATTGGGAGCATGTTAGCGTGCTGACATTAGCGTTTAGCTCCACTGTGTCTAATTATAGCCTCAGAGCAGCTAGCATGGCTGTAGACTCTTAAGTCTAGTAAAGGAGTGTCTTATTCAGTCCCTCCAGGAAATCACACCATTTCTTTTTTAAATTGCAATGCATGTTGGGATGTTTTTAGGCATTGTTTCGCTATTAAATTGCAAGAAAAAACATTTAATTACAAAAATATTGGCATTTTTTATATAATTGATTAGAAATCGAAGGCTACAACTAGTAGTTTGGTGATTTATGGCTCAGAGTTTTGCCTGGGGGACTGCTATGATTGGTCAAAAGTTGCGGAAAAGTTGCAGTGATTGGATACAATTGCAAGGTCATGCAGAATTCACTTGGGATTGGTTGAATTTGCGTTAATTCCTGTGGAGGGACTGCCTATTAGAAAGCGTCACCAAAGAAATGAATTTATCTTACTTTAATTTAACAGAATTAAACTTAAACATTTGACATATTTTTTGCAGCCACATGCATGTGAGAGACATGTGAGAGACACTGCAGATCTATTTATGGATTTACTATTGACTAACTGTTCCTATAAAAAAAAAAACTAATGATTTTCGCTGCTGTGTGTCAAACTACCGATCTGTCTCTGCCTCTCTGTTAGCGGCTGGTTTCTGCACTGAAGCAAACAAATCTGTATTCCAGCGTCGGCCCCGGTCCAGCTGGCCAAACTATTTACACTGCCAGGCATAAACACTTAAGATTTGGGATGAACCCGATTTATTGCCACAGCCAGCCAGTTGTTTGGCATCTAATGTCACCAAAGACTATTTCTTTGATTAGTTTGTTCCACAAGTATGAGTTATTATTATTGTGCTGCCTAATATAATAATAATAAGAGGATCAGGTTTTGCTTATGACAGCAATTCATAATCTCTAAGAGCAACATCACCCACAGATATCTCACAATGAAAACTAGAGACTCACTCAAGTTTTCCTGTGACACAAATACACAAAAGCAGACAGGCATGCCTACACACACTCTTTTTTTTCTCCAGCTCATGCTATTGCTTTTGCTCTCTTTCACACACAGACAGACACTCATCGTTGTTTCTCACAGTCTTGTCTTGCTGTTGTTTGATTTACTCTGTGGCCTCTGACCCCGGCTGGGCTGAGCTGGATGGACTCTTGGCCCTGCTGCTGCTCCAACTGGTTCATCTCCAACATAACCCCACTGGACCTGTGTGTACGTGTGTGTGTGTGTGTGTGTGTGTGTGTCTTTGCATGTCTAGATAAACACATTCATGTGTGATCAAATCCTGTTTCACTATGCCGTCCAAAAAGCACAAGCTCATCTTACTGTTATTTGTATGTTGCATGTATAAAATATCTATTATTCTGTTGTGTTTTGCATTAAAAGCTGCACCTGTGCTTTCCACTGCTTCTAACTAAGGGTTAAACTAAATTCAGTTGTCTTTATATATTTCTTCACAAATGAAAACCTCTTGTCAGTGCTACACCTTATTTCAGTGTTTTACAAGCTGCTAACTGACCTTTTGGTGTTATTAATTTCCTGTTGTTGTGAAGCCCAAATCAATTAAAGATGGTAACAGTGATGTGACTCCATCTGACCTTTGCCTGAGAGTAGTGAACAGTGGGAAAGAAAAGAACTGGATGATGATTAAACAACAATTTGCAGTTCTATTTAACAGAAAAACTGAATAAAGCAAATAAAAACTGACTGAAATTTTGACTGAGCTTTCTTTGTGGTCCACTTTGACACTTTAGCCCACTTGTTTTTCACACCGCAAGTCCTTCACACCCCATCTGTCTTATGTTAGATTGTGGATAGGCGTCTTCATGGTGGCCCTCACAAATGTGATTATCATATAATTTAGAAAATGTTATCCTCTGAGGATTATAATTGACGTTTTAACTTTACTCATAAGATCCTTCTGCACAATGTGGATAGCTATCATAGCATCTACCTCTGTCTCTCTAATCTGAATTAATACCTAAAAAGTTAAAACAAAACAGTGTGGTGATAGATATAATATCTTTCTGGACTATAAGAAACAACTAAATCTGTTGTAAATAAATCTGTCAGCGCTTATTTGAACAGATAACTCACAAAGGAATCTTTTGTCTTCATATTTCTTTGATGGCACTTCTTAAAGTCATAGCTGTGGTATTTTTTCTAAACATAAGTCTCATCTTTGAAGGCGGTCCATAGCTCCGAGTTTTTAAACAGATGTGGGATTCCCACTGTTTTCTTCCTTGCATGTACAGTCCCATATAAATACTGAGTTAATGGACTCTCACTGTGGGTTACAGCTTCTTAAAGTTATTTTTGGGTTTAGCTTTTAGATTAGATTGAGACCACTTTTTGTTTTGTATTTCTACCAGCAAAATAAACAAAAAAGATATAATGTTTTAATTGGTGAGCCTAGGTGAGGTGCTGCTGGGTGGATTTACCTTTTACCAAAGCCAGGCTCACTGTTTCTCTCCTTAGCACTTTTTTGCTAAGCTAAGCTAACTGACTGCTGGCTCTAGCTTCATATTTAATGCAGGTATCAATCTCATCTAAGTCTTGGCAAGAAAGCAAATGAGCATATTTCCCCAAATCCCTTTAAATTTCTATATATATTATACATATGTTTATATATCTCTGTGTGTGTGTGTGTGTGTGTGTATGTGTGTACAGGACAAGAGTGCACTTTCCAGGACAATTTATCTTGAGCTGGCTATAGATTTGACTTATTATTTCAACATAGGCATGTGTTTTAAAGGCATATAAAGCACCTAATTGTAACCACTTCAACCTTTTGTATCTGTCCTGGCCCGCCCACAGACTAGTGACTGGGCCGTCCTCAAGTACGCTTTACGCATGCACATGCTCTCTCTCTCCTGTGTAACATGATTATTGCTGGCCCCCATAGCGACTGGCCCCCAGAAAGTGTTCCCAGTTTCCTTCTCTTATGTATCTGTGACTCTATGAGAACTGCACGACACACTTGCTCGGCTCAGTCAAGACGCTACACTGCTTAAATGCACCATAGTAACACATTTCCTAAGCAGCCTGTGTTATTGGGTTAGTTCTTTTCCTTGTTGTGCAACACACTAAACGTCTCAATCCCTTGTTCTCAGTTCCCTCTAAGCCCTTGATAAGGAAGTGGACTGAATTTTTTTCGGCCCTTTCCAGCGAGAGTGACCTAAAAGACGACGGGAGATGGGGGAGGTATGTGTTACAGTACAATAGCCGGTAAATCTCTCCGCAGTAACCACACCAGAGCACTAAGCACATGCTTATGGAGGGAGGCTAATCAGCTTTCTTCAGATGGGCTAATGTCCTTACAGTGGCTGAGAGGGGGGCCTATATTTAGCATCCACTCTCTCTCTCTTAACAGGGGATAACATTGGCCCTGTTCTCCTCTCCATAGCTCATCTCTCTCTGCTTAAATTCATCAAGAAGCCCATGCTGGCAGACATGAAGGGAAATGAGTGAGGGCAAAAAAACAGAGGGTAATAAAGCTGTGTACTCAACAGACAAAAACATGCAAGTTATATTAGATTCATACACAGCAGGTTGTTTGAAAGTCCGTCAAAGAAATTAGGTCAAAGTTGAAGATAAAGAAAAGAGAAAAAAGCAGGATAACCAAAAGTTAGACAGAAGAAAAAAACATATCAAAGAGAACATGAAAGAAAGACTAAGTAAAATATATTTTCTCAGTGTCAGCAGGGAAAGTGACATCTGGAGGCTGAGGCCTCTGGGCATTAGAGGGAAGCAGACCTGGAGCCAATCAACTCAGTCAGTTACCATGTGTCCCTGGAGACCAAGGCTGTGCTGGTAGTAAGGTCTGTGCATATACATGACATCTACCTGCTGTTGCAAATAAACTCAGAGCTAATGAGTTCTGGCAAACGGTGCGATGACGGCTGTTGACGCTTATCCTGACGTCTCTTGGAGAGAAAATCTGTCACGTTCAGCTGTCACTTGCTGGCAGCAGCAGTGGCATCCACTGGGATTGTGCGGGCACCTCGAGACATTGACCTGACGAAGACACCTCTTTCAAAGTCTGGGCAGCAAATCTAAATGCCAGAGCTGTGTACCTTGGCTTATCTAAGGTTCAGTATATCCAATAAACATCATCCAGATTGTTATTATAGGTAGTAGTGTGTGTGTCCGTGTGTGTGTG